AAAAAATCAGCGTTTTTTATTTAAGGTAATAAAAGATTATAAAAGACATTTTTTTACATTATAAATCCTTGTGGCTTGGATTTTATACTTTAAAAAGGGCCCAACCTTTTTTTTTTTTTTTTTAATCAGTTGTGTATTTCCTAGCTTACAAGGGCTAGATCTAATATTATTCCCATGAGAAATGTTGAATTTGTGAAGAATGGATTTTGAGGGTTTGAAAATGGTATCTCAAGTGAAAATGTCAGTATCCAAAACATATACCTTTTGTTTTAGGAGCAGACACTAGCACGCTGGACAAAGCAATCATAATGTATTTGTCACACATGACCTGTGGTCTGTTGTAGATTAATGTAGTACTATTCTCATGTGATTCTTAACACTACAGCACAAGTATTATCTCACCTGATTCTCAAGTAGCATTTAAAAGATGGGTTTCTATTTGTATTTGCTCCTTAAACTATGTTTCTCCTACCCCAAGTTGGCTTTGCATCTATAAAAGTAAATAACTTCTTCAGCTGCCTTATTAGGAGTGCTATGAGGGTAACACCTTTTCTGCTTTTCTCCTTGTATTTAGTTCACTGTATTTGATTTCAGATTGAATGATTGTAAATAGAAATTAAATGCAAATTTGAAAGAACATAAAATAAAAGTGATTTTTTTATTGCCTTGAAGAGAGGAAGAGTTAGTACACATATTTAGTTTAAAATACATATTTAATGTATACATATCAGGTGTACAGTTCTTTTTCATTAATGTGATCATGTCCTCATTTAATAAACTTATATATGAAAGAATGAGTTTAAAAACTTTCTCCTGAGAAATTAGAGGTATTTAAGTATATAACAAATTTTAGTGTTGACCTTATGTATTAGATGTTACACACCTTTGTTACTGAAAAGGCTTGACTTGTTTGCTTTTATTATTTTTTGGTTGAGACAGGGTCTCCCTGAAGCCCCAGCTGCCCTGCAACTATGTAGACCAGGTTGGCCTCAATCTTACAGAGATCCACTTGCCTCTGCCTCCCAAGTACTAGGATCAAAGGTGTGTACCACCATGCCCAGCTTAAATTGTTTGCTTTTAAAAAACATTCATGCAACAAGCTATGTGGAAGCTAGTTTCATAAACGGAATATTAGGAATACTTTGTTGTACTAATAATTAACTATTCAGCTATACCTTATAGTTATCTTTGATAATGTGATGCTTATGTACAAAATGTAGTGCACAAATTAGTTCATGTGTTGTATCTAAGATGGCCACTGTGTAATGACCTATCTATGAGGCCTTTACATCAAACCTACTAAGGTGTACAAAAGTTCTTCCCCTGATGTTACCGTCTTTTAAAAAAAATATTTTTATTTTACGTGTATGAGTGTTTTGTCTGCATGCATATAATGCAATGCCCACAGAAAGGGCATTAGATCTCCTGGATCTGGAATTATAGAGTTGTTAGCTGCCATGTGGGTCCATAGGTGTGTGGGTGGGTGGGCTCATGCTGTGGCATGCTTGTAGAAGTCAGAGGACAGCGTATGGAATCCACTTTCTCCTTCCACCATGTAGGTCCTGGGAATCAAACTCAGTTCCTCACCAGCCCTGAAGTTCTGTTCTATAAAATATGGTAGTATCTCTCCCTTTTTTTGGTGTGCTGGGGACTGAACCTCAGCTCAATTGGGGCCTCATACATGGTTAGCAAGATCTCTAGCAGTACAACAGTCTCAGTCTCAGGTAGAATTTTTTTCCCCTTTGGTTTTGTGTGTGTGTGTGTGTGTGTGTGTGTGTGTGTGTGTGTGTGAAAGACACACAGAGACACAGTCTCCCTGTAGCTGTAGCTGGCCTGGAACTCCCAATGTAGGCCAGGCTTGCTTCCATCTCACGGAGATCTGCCTGCTTCTGCCTCCCGAGTGCTGATATTAAAGGTGTGTGCAGCCACACCTAGCCCTGGTAAACATTTCTCAATGCTGGTACAGTAGTTGTTTAGAGGGCATTATCTGAATTCACAGAATTAGAGTTTTAGAGCTGTGATCTCCTTCCTTTGAGGTGATAGAGAAATGTCTCCAGTTCATTATCGATAATGAATGGCATAATCTTAATACATTATCTGTTCAAAAAATTTTTTTTTGTTTTTTTTTGAGGCAGGGTTTCCTTGTAGCCCCAGCTATCCTGGAACTCACTATGTAGACCAGGCCAGCCTTGAACTCAGAGATCTGCCTGCCTCTGCCTCCCAAGTGCTGGGATTAAAGGTGTGTGCCACCATGCCTGGCTTCAAAAAATTGTTTTTAGCTTGGTGTAGTGGCACACAACTTTAAACACAGCACTCAGGAGGTAGAGACAGGCAAGTGTGTACGAGGTTGAGGTCAGCATGGTCTACATAATGAGTTCTAGGCTAGCTGGAACTACAGAGAAACCCTATCAACTGCCCCCGCCCCCAATTTTGTAAAATTTATTTTATGTGCACACATATCCATGCACCATAGCACATGTGGAGGTCAGATGACAACTTGTAGGAGTTGGTTCTCTTCTTCCATCATGTGGGTTCCGGCGATCAAATTTGGGTCATCAAGCTTGGCAGCAAGCACCTTTACCCACTGAGTTATTTCAGTTTTTGGAAACAGGGTCTCACTATGTAGATCAGGCTGGCTTATCTCTTAATCTTTGTTACCAGCTTCCTGAGCATTGCCATGTCCGCCCTTCCCATTTGCTGTTTTTAATTCACTGCCTTCCAGAAAACCCTCCACAAACTTCATTTATTCATATCAAGAAACAAGGCTGCAGGGCCCTGCATGGCAGTGGTGCATGCCTTTAATCCCAGCACTTGGGAGGCAGAGGCAGGTGGATCTCAGGTGGATCTCTGTGAGTTCAGGGACAGCCTGGTCTACACAGTGAGTTCCAGGCCAGCTGGGGCTACAGGAAGACCCTGTCTCAAAAGACTGAAAAAAAAAAAAAAAAAAAGCAAAAACAAAAAACAGGAAAGTGATCTAAGCTTGTTCAGATATTCAGTGATTATTAGTAGGTAAGAAAATTAAATATAACTGAATGATTAAAAACAGTTCAACTTAAAACCTGGCAGTTTACCTAGGAGGAAAAGTTACATTTTTCCTGTTGCTTTGTCGTCATTGTAGCTATGCAGGCATGAATTCACCTGCAGTAGTTGGTCAGCTGTCTAATCCATGTGCTCGTTTAGCCTGTCCTAATACTGCAAATTTTTCTTCCTTGTCTTCTAACTTGCCCTTCCCACTATTTTTCCTTGTTACTGATAAAGGAATCGGCAGAAGCCTTGTGAGCTAAATTTAGCAGCTCTTTAGACATCCCTTAGAGATTTCAGATTCGAAGAAAAAAAAAGGGCCTCACTTCCACAACTCTACAGAAATCATCCAGCTATGAACTGACCTCACTACCCAAACATGGCTTGCCCTCAATGCAGGTTGTTTTGTTTTTCCCTTTTCTCCTGAGTGTTAAGAGATTTCAGCCAGGATATCTTCCATGCTAATTAATATTCCCACCAGTGAACTATAATCCCATCCCTGAGTGCAAGCTTTTGTAATTCAGGTATGAAGTTTCTAAAACTTCTGAGCTATCCCAGTCCCTATAAATCATTTTAATGTTTTTTTAAAAATGTTTAATTTTATATGTATGAGTGTTTTGCTGCATGTATATTAAGAGCACCAGTGTTGTTCAGTGCCCACAGAAGTCAGATGAGGGCGTCAGATTCCCTGGAACTAGATTTAGGACAGTTGTTAGCTGCCATGTAGGTGCAGGGAATTGCCAGTGCTCTTAACTGCTGAGCCATCTCTCCAGCCCCCATCTTAATATTTTAATAGCTCTTCAAGGTATTATATGACACTACACAAAAGGCAAGACCACGAACACTACAGATGGTGGCAAGAAGCATGCAAGAGGTCCACAGATCTGAATCATTTATTCTCACTGATTACTAACCATGCTATAGAGAATAATACAGTATTAAAATATATCATCCTCAGTAAATCTTCACTTAGAAAATGTGATTTTTATAGGTAAAATATAGCATTTGGAACTTTCATTTAAAAATACATACTTTATGAAAATTTTAAGCATTTTTAGAATGGGAGCTATAAAACTCTGCTGAAGAAAATTACTTCAGATACCATTTATCTTAAAATACTATTAAAAAAATCTTTAGTCTAAAAACAATGCCAGAAAAGAACATCTGAACTCCTTTAAAACTGCTAGTTCTAGTGTCTAATTGCTGTTTTGGTACCATCAACAAGAAAACACATTTACAGTTAAAACTGCAATTACACTGGGCATGATTGCGCACAACTTTTATCCCAGCACTCGGGAGGCAGATCTCTGAGATCCAGGCCAGCCTGGTCAACATAGTTCTAGGCCAGCTGGGGCTACAGGGAGCCCATTTCAAAAAGACCAAAATCTAACGAGAAACCTTGTAATTTCCTGTCAATTAGGTTGAATAAATATTGCATATTCATTAAGCTGAATATATACTTTTAAAACAGGGTTCTTGGAATACAAACAAGTCTTGCGATAGTCTAAAACCATTTGGAAACATTTTTTTCTAGTCCTGGAAACTAATTATGATAAAGACCTTTATCACCTTTATCAATAGTTACTGTAACTGAATAAAGTTAGTGTTTTGCGGCCCTAACAGTTCATACAATTCAGTATATCTGAAGGTGCGATGAAGTAGCTCCATCTTTCCATTTGTTTATACGATCTGAAATCACAGTTCTGCATAGTGGACATGTTTTCTCTCTGTTAAACCACAAGGTAATACATTCTTCACAAAATATGTGCTGTAAAGAAATTAAGAACCAGATTTTATACTTGATAAACATTTTACATTATACTTGATACTTACAAAGTGTAGAGGATCATACTCTAAAGTTGAAAAGGATTTAATCTCAGCAATTTACAAATAAGGAAAACAGAAAATGTATGACATATTTAAAAGACAGTGGTTGGGCTGGAGAGATGGCTCAGTGGTAAGAACACTGGTTGTTCTTGCAGAAGACCCAGGTTCGAATCCCAGCACCCACACGTAACCACATGTACACCTAACAACTGTAACTCTAGTTCCAGGGGATCCGATGACCTCTTCTGTCCTTCGTGGGCATAGCACGACATGGGTGTGCTTACTTACATGCAGGCAATACATTTATATACATAAAATAAAAATAAAAAAGAATTAAAAAAAAAAAAAAGACAGTGGTTAGGCTGGGCGTGGTGGTGGACGCCTTTAATCCCAACACTCAGGAGGCAGAGGCAGGCAGATCTCTGAGTTCAAGGCCAGCCTGGTCTACATAGTGAGTTCCAGGACAGCTGGGGCTACAGGGGGGCCCTGTCTCAAAGACCAAAAAAAAAAAAAAAAACAGGGGTTAGGCTGGGCGTGGTGGTGGACGCCTTTAATCCCAACACTCAGGAGGCAGAGGCAGGCAGATCTCTGAGTTCAAGGCCAGCCTGGTCTACATAGTGAGTTCCAGGACAGCTGGGGCTACAGGGGGGCCCTGTCTCAAAGACCAAAAAAAAAAAAAAAAACAGGGGTTAGGCTGGGCGTGGTGGTGGACGCCTTTAATCCCAACACTCAGGAGGCAGAGGCAGGCAGATCTCTGAGTTCAAGGCCAGCCTGGTCTACATAGTGAGTTCCAGGACAGCTGGGGCTACAGGGGGGCCCTGTCTCAAAGACCAAAAAAAAAAAAAAAAACAGGGGTTAGGCTGGGCGTGGTGGTGGACGCCTTTAATCCCAACACTCAGGAGGCAGAGGCAGGCAGATCTCTGAGTTCAAGGCCAGCCTGGTCTACATAGTGAGTTCCAGGACAGCTGGGGCTACAGGGGGGCCCTGTCTCAAAGACCAAAAAAAAAAAAAAAAACAGGGGTTAGGCTGGGCGTGGTGGTGGACGCCTTTAATCCCAACACTCAGGAGGCAGAGGCAGGCAGATCTCTGAGTTCAAGGCCAGCCTGGTCTACATAGTGAGTTCCAGGACAGCTGGGGCTACAGGGGGGCCCTGTCTCAAAGACCAAAAAAAAAAAAAAAAACAGGGGTTAGGCTGGGCGTGGTGGTGGACGCCTTTAATCCCAACACTCAGGAGGCAGAGGCAGGCAGATCTCTGAGTTCAAGGCCAGCCTGGTCTACATAGTGAGTTCCAGGACAGCTGGGGCTACAGGGGGGCCCTGTCTCAAAGACCAAAAAAAAAAAAAAAAACAGGGGTTAGGCTGGGCGTGGTGGTGGACGCCTTTAATCCCAACACTCAGGAGGCAGAGGCAGGCAGATCTCTGAGTTCAAGGCCAGCCTGGTCTACATAGTGAGTTCCAGGACAGCTGGGGCTACAGGGGGGCCCTGTCTCAAAGACCAAAAAAAAAAAAAAAAACAGGGGTTAGGCTGGGCGTGGTGGTGGACGCCTTTAATCCCAACACTCAGGAGGCAGAGGCAGGCAGATCTCTGAGTTCAAGGCCAGCCTGGTCTACATAGTGAGTTCCAGGACAGCTGGGGCTACAGGGGGGCCCTGTCTCAAAGACCAAAAAAAAAAAAAAAAACAGGGGTTAGGCTGGGCGTGGTGGTGGACGCCTTTAATCCCAACACTCAGGAGGCAGAGGCAGGCAGATCTCTGAGTTCAAGGCCAGCCTGGTCTACATAGTGAGTTCCAGGACAGCTGGGGCTACAGGGGGGCCCTGTCTCAAAGACCAAAAAAAAAAAAAAAAACAGGGGTTAGGCTGGGCGTGGTGGTGGACGCCTTTAATCCCAACACTCAGGAGGCAGAGGCAGGCAGATCTCTGAGTTCAAGGCCAGCCTGGTCTACATAGTGAGTTCCAGGACAGCTGGGGCTACAGGGGGGCCCTGTCTCAAAGACCAAAAAAAAAAAAAAAAACAGGGGTTAGGCTGGGCGTGGTGGTGGACGCCTTTAATCCCAACACTCAGGAGGCAGAGGCAGGCAGATCTCTGAGTTCAAGGCCAGCCTGGTCTACATAGTGAGTTCCAGGACAGCTGGGGCTACAGGGGGGCCCTGTCTCAAAGACCAAAAAAAAAAAAAAAAACAGGGGTTAGGCTGGGCGTGGTGGTGGACGCCTTTAATCCCAACACTCAGGAGGCAGAGGCAGGCAGATCTCTGAGTTCAAGGCCAGCCTGGTCTACATAGTGAGTTCCAGGACAGCTGGGGCTACAGGGGGGCCCTGTCTCAAAGACCAAAAAAAAAAAAAAAAACAGGGGTTAGGCTGGGCGTGGTGGTGGACGCCTTTAATCCCAACACTCAGGAGGCAGAGGCAGGCAGATCTCTGAGTTCAAGGCCAGCCTGGTCTACATAGTGAGTTCCAGGACAGCTGGGGCTACAGGGGGGCCCTGTCTCAAAGACCAAAAAAAAAAAAAAAAACAGGGGTTAGGCTGGGCGTGGTGGTGGACGCCTTTAATCCCAACACTCAGGAGGCAGAGGCAGGCAGATCTCTGAGTTCAAGGCCAGCCTGGTCTACATAGTGAGTTCCAGGACAGCTGGGGCTACAGGGGGGCCCTGTCTCAAAGACCAAAAAAAAAAAAAAAAACAGGGGTTAGGCTGGGCGTGGTGGTGGACGCCTTTAATCCCAACACTCAGGAGGCAGAGGCAGGCAGATCTCTGAGTTCAAGGCCAGCCTGGTCTACATAGTGAGTTCCAGGACAGCTGGGGCTACAGGGGGGCCCTGTCTCAAAGACCAAAAAAAAAAAAAAAAACAGGGGTTAGGCTGGGCGTGGTGGTGGACGCCTTTAATCCCAACACTCAGGAGGCAGAGGCAGGCAGATCTCTGAGTTCAAGGCCAGCCTGGTCTACATAGTGAGTTCCAGGACAGCTGGGGCTACAGGGGGGCCCTGTCTCAAAGACCAAAAAAAAAAAAAAAAACAGGGGTTAGGCTGGGCGTGGTGGTGGACGCCTTTAATCCCAACACTCAGGAGGCAGAGGCAGGCAGATCTCTGAGTTCAAGGCCAGCCTGGTCTACATAGTGAGTTCCAGGACAGCTGGGGCTACAGGGGGGCCCTGTCTCAAAGACCAAAAAAAAAAAAAAAAACAGGGGTTAGGCTGGGCGTGGTGGTGGACGCCTTTAATCCCAACACTCAGGAGGCAGAGGCAGGCAGATCTCTGAGTTCAAGGCCAGCCTGGTCTACATAGTGAGTTCCAGGACAGCTGGGGCTACAGGGGGGCCCTGTCTCAAAGACCAAAAAAAAAAAAAAAAACAGGGGTTAGGCTGGGCGTGGTGGTGGACGCCTTTAATCCCAACACTCAGGAGGCAGAGGCAGGCAGATCTCTGAGTTCAAGGCCAGCCTGGTCTACATAGTGAGTTCCAGGACAGCTGGGGCTACAGGGGGGCCCTGTCTCAAAGACCAAAAAAAAAAAAAAAAACAGGGGTTAGGCTGGGCGTGGTGGTGGACGCCTTTAATCCCAACACTCAGGAGGCAGAGGCAGGCAGATCTCTGAGTTCAAGGCCAGCCTGGTCTACATAGTGAGTTCCAGGACAGCTGGCGCTACAGGGAGACCCTGTCTCAAAGACCAAAAAAAAAAAAAAGACCAACAAAGAGAGACAAAGACAGGTATTAATGGTAAAACCACTAGAAGTATTCTGACTCTGCTAAGTAACTTGTTAACAAGTTAATAAACTACCACTAGGTGATTCCTTTAAGTATGATGATTTAAGCGCTTAGTAGTACTTACTAGTAACTACTGTAAAGCACAGCAAGGAGCCTACATGTTTTAGTAACATGCTAGTACTGTGCCACAAGACTAGGATCCAGCTGAGCCTGGTAGTGGAAGCCTTTAATTTCAGTACTCCAGAGGCAGAGGCAGGCAGGTCTCTGTGAGATCAAAGGCCAGCCTGGTTACACAGGGAGTTCCAGGCCAGGTGGGACTACAGGGAGAGCCTGTCTGAAAAAAAAAAAAAAAAAAAAAATTGAAAAGAAAAAGCTAATATCTAGTTACAAAAAATAACCTGTTTTCTAATTGCTTTGTTATCCAAACTGCTGATTGAGTTTTTTCCCTCTTCTATTCTCTGTACAAAAATCAGAACATAAAGGACATGATTTAGCCCGTCTATACTGCATCCCTCCACCATTATCAGTGCAATCTGGAGTGCTACCTTCTGCTAAATATTTTTATTGCCATGTAACAGATTTTCACAAGTCATAGGAAAGTGCAATATATAATTTGCTTAAAAATATTACCTGACAAATAAGAAGAATTGGCTTCTGAAATTCAGCTTGACATATGGAACAAGTATCATCCACATCTGAACACTGTCTTTTGCTGGCAGCTACTCCATAACTCTATGAAGACAAGTTGAACTTGTTCAGCTACAAATTTCATTTCTTGTTTCTTAAATACATAGGTGATGCTGTACTTCTCAAATCTTCCTGTAACCAGGCATTTCAAAATTTTCCCATAGGATATGAACATTTCACAGCTGAGCTACATATGGAGAACCACATGACTGCATCAAGGTGAAATCAGTAATACATAATAGGACTGTAGAAGACTGTTAAATCCACTGGACTGTCAAACAATCCAGTGCTTCAAATTCAACACAACTGGCTTAAGAGATGGAAGTGATTCAAAATATAAAATGCATACTCATGTTATTTCATAGGACTGCCAAATAAGCCCACTTAAGAACTATGAAGATAATTTTTCTAAGTCAATCCAGACCTTCACTGGTTAAATTAAATTCCTGTGGAAAGTGTGCTTTTGAAATACATATCTGGGTTCAATTCCAGCACTATGGCAATAAAAATGTTTCTCACTGGAGATTTAGTCGGCCCAAACATCAGACATACTAGAAGAAATTCTTAAGTCCTCCCAAAAGTTTCTGATCTCTTTAAAATTTTAACTCCTTGACCAAATTAAGCAGAGCTTAAATCATTAGATATGAGAGTTAAGAATAGTGAAACTTGGAAGACTCAAAATGTTACAAGAGATCAGCTTTCTGTAGAAATGAAGGCTAAAGTTGGCTATGAATACCCAAGTGTTGTCATGGAAACAAGTAAAGCAAGATGTGTGTCACCATTTTTGAAATTATGATTTATATTTCTTGCAGCAAAACTAAAACTCAAGGATAAAAATCTTAAGCCTCTTTTGGGACTGGTGAAGAAACAAGTCAGGATACTGTTAAGATGATCTTGGTGGCAAATTATCTTCAATAAAGTGCCACTTAACAGAATATATTATAGATATGCTGACAGGCTTTAAAAATAGTTTCTGTGTTACATGAAGACTTTTATGGTGACTACCATTTCCTTGGTAAAGCTAAAACACCATGGTTGCCACGGTGGCACACACCTTTAATCCCTGCACTCATGACTCAGTGGTCATGTGATAAATTTTTAATTGACACTGGAGTCTTAATTGCTAAATTCCATGCTACAGAATCTTATTTATGCATACAGAATTAAGAGGAAATTTCCTCTAGTAAGGAAATTTGCAAGGGACATGGATTTTACTAATGAGCTTTCCTCAAAATAAAATTGTTCATAAAAGTGGAATACAAACCCAGACATGGTAGGGCATGTCTTTAATACCAGCAGAGGCAGGCAGATTTCTGTAAGATCAAGGCCAACCTAGTCTACATAGTGAGTTCTAGGCCAGCTGGAGCTACAAGAGAGACCCTGTCTCAAAAACAAAACAACCCAAACAAAAAAGTGGACTAGAGTGTTAACAAAAGTACACAACTGCCCCATTTGTGGAATCAAAAAGGAAAAACGAAAGTTCATGTCATTTTTAAAGATGTGATTTTAAATCCTTACATATATCAAATGATTTGTTTTTGTGGTTCCTTATATGTGCTAGGTAGGTGTCTATCACTGAGCCTGAGCCCCAAAATTTCAAAGAACTTGAAAGTACAAACAGATGCATTCAAATACATAAAAACTGTCATAATTAGTGGGCAGTTGTCAACGTGAAATTTTAAAATTGATCATGAAACTAAACCTTCTAAATTATTACAGCACTAAGTGCCAAAATTAGAAAACAATCTCAATGGAAGAGAAACAGCTTGTGAAATTCTACTTCTAAAACTGCTAAACTAAAAGAAAATTAGAATGAAGCAAGATACAAGTTCTTCAGCTGTTAATAAGTACTTACTGGTCGGGTAAAAAATACTCGCAAAACATGTCTGAAGGTTCTTAAATGTCCAAAAAAGTCCAAAAGCTAAAAGAGGAAGAGACAGTTTATTAATTCAAAACCTCCATGTGCTAAACCTAAAGATCAAAGGTGAAATCTAAATATTAAATTCTCAACCAAATGTTCCCTGCTTATCATACCTAATTCAATTATAAATAACTTCTTTAACACCTATTTTTAGTTGCGATTTTGCAAATTTCATAATATATCTTGATATATTTAGACCCCTCTCCGATCTGCACCTCCCATAAACAGCCCCTCTCCCGGCCAGATTTCATGCGTTGTCATATATGTTAAGGCCCACTGAGCCAAGTTTGTGACCCCAAGTGTCCTTTAGTGTGAGTCCTTCCTAGAAAATCAACTCTCCCTCACCCGATAGTCATGGGTTGCCAATAGTTTCTCAGCTAAGGCTGGGGCTTCTTACCCATTTCCCCCTTCTATGCTGGTTTTTTGCCTGGGTTGAGCTTGCATGGGTCTTATGCATGCTGTCACTGTTGCTGTTAGTTCATATGTGCAACTTCCCAGCCACCTGGAAAACTGTTTCCTTGTGATAATCTACCACCCCTGGCTCTTACAGTCTTTGTGCCCCCTCTTCTGCAATGGTCCCTGAGTCCTGGGTGACAGGTTTGACACAGGTGTCCTACCCAGGGACAAGCACTCAGCAGTCTCTTATTTTCTGCATAGAGTGCAATGAATAAGTCTTACCCTGGGAAAACCACCTACATGATCATGGTATCTCCCTTGCCAGGTATATTTAATAACTAGTTCATAAATTTGATTCAACTCTTAACCAAGACTTACAATTTTGTCAAGACAGACCTATGGCCAAAGACAGCAACTTTGATTCAAATGCTTTTGGTATCTATTTTAAAGTTTCATAAAGTGATTAAGTCAAAGGGATTAGGCATAAAGAGCAGGGCAAGATACACCATTAGTTTGAGAATTAGGTGTGCGATACACGGGACTGTAGAGGGCTGGTATGGTCTACTTTTTCTCCCTTAGTTATGCCATGCTATGTGGGAATCTGTTCAGCTACACGGAAGGCTAAGCCCTTCATACACCCCACCCCCACCACAAGTAGGTTTCCTTATCGCTCCTGCCCTCCTGTCTTCCTTTTTTTTTGGGGGGGGTCTTTTTGAGACAGGGTCTCCCTGTAGCCCCAGCTGGCCTGGAACTCACAGAGATCCACCTCCTCTGCCAAGTGCTGGGACTAAAAGCATGTGCCACCACACCCAGCTGTCTTCCCCCTCCCCCCCCTTTTTTTTGCCATTTTTATGTGTATTGCCTGCATGTAGGTAAGTGCACCCATGTCATGAAATGCCTGTGGAGGTCAGACAAGTCTGTCAAATCCCCTGGAACTGGAGTTACAGACAGTTGTTAGCTGCCATGTGGGTGCTGGGATTTGAACCTGGATCTTCTGTAAGAACAGTGGGTTTTGTTTGTTTGTTTTAATATTATTTTTATTTTACGTGTATGAGTGTATTTCGTGAATGTAGGTAAGTACACCTGTGCCCTGCAATGCCTGCAGAGGACAGAAGAGACCGTCGGATCCCCTGGAACTGGAGTTATGGACAGTTGTTAGCTGCCGTGTGGGTGCTGGGATTCGAACACAGGTCTTCTGCAAGAACAACTAGTGTTCTTAATCGCTGAGCCATCTCTCCAGCCTGTCATTCTCTTTTTTGAGGGAAGGTCTTGCTGAGTTGCCAAGGCTGACAAACTCAAGATCCTCTGGCCTCAAACTCCTTAGTAGCTGGGATTGCAGATGTTCTAGAGTTCTGAATAGACACAGAACCTACCATTGCTTCAAACTAGTGATATGAAGATGAACATTAAGACAGTTTAGTAGTAGCAGTAATATAAAATTATTATACAAATCATTCTGCCATGACAGAATGATTTTATAATGTTACTTACCTTTAGAATGAGGTAGAGTAAAGCCAGCAATATTCCAAGACTCCATCTAGTTACATTACCAAGCTCCCCATAGCTTATAAGGTACCGAAACCAAACTGGTACGGGAACAAAAATTCGGTAATACTGACAGAATTCTTCTAAAAGCATGTACCAGTAACCCTAAAAAGGAAGGAAACAAATACAGCTACCCAAGCTACTTAAATACATAGCAAGATACTTAATACTGGACTGAGAACATCATGAGTATATGATATGATGCACTAAATAACTGAAATTATACTTCATAATAATTATGATTAACATTGACACATTCAACCTGATTATCACATACCATCATCATTGCATGGGCTTGCTTTCCAAGTATTTGTAAAGATTACATTACATAGTGTTGGGCTGGCAAGATGATTCACTAGGTAAAAGGTGCTTGTCACTATGCCTGATAATCCCCAAGCCCACATGGTGGAGGGAGAGAACTAACTTCCAAAAGCTGTCCTCAGACCACAAGTGTGCCATGGGTTTTTAAGGTTTTTTTTTTTAATGTGTATGAGTGTAAGTGCACTTATATTGTGCAATGCCCACAGAGATCAGAAGAAGGCATTAGATCCCCTGGAACTAGAGCTACAGATGGTTAGCCACCATGTGGGTGCTGGGAATCGAACCCAGGTCCTCTGCAAGAGCAGTCAGTCCTCTTAACTGCTGCGCCATCTCTCCTGCCCCACAATAAATTAATTAAAATAAAATTTAGTTAATAAGCTCAGAGCAGTGGCTCACACTTGTAACCCTAGCATTTCAGAGGCTGAGGTAGCAAGACTGCATTGGATTTCAAGACAAGCTTGGGCTACAGAATAAGTCCTGTCTCAAACAAACAAAAAGCAGTAAGTAAAAATTAAAAGCTTTTATTGGTATGGGAAGTCACTGATTAATCACATATAATTATGTATTCATTGATAATGCCCTGCAGGGGAGCAATGCCCTCTTCTGACCCTTGTGTGCAACTACATTTGTGCATATACCCATATGTAGACACATGCATACCCATAACAAAATGAAATTTTTAAAAATTGTTTTGGCAAACTAAATTATGAGACATTTAAAATGAAAACTAAGCAGCACTTGAAAGGCAGAGAGAGGCAGGCGGCTCTGTGAGTTCGAGGCCAGCCTGGTCTACATGTCTAATTATCGAGAACTAGTCTCAAAAAAACAAAAAGACTAAGTCAAATTTAATGTGGTTTGCTAATATCATTCCAATAAACATTAGTTACTTACCTTTGATTTAAAAGGCATGATGGAAGAAGGCACCAATAAAATTAGGCATTTTAAACCCATGAAAAGGAATTTCAGAATAAAGTCTGTAATTCCAACAATCCAAAGAACTTCCCAGAAGCTCAGCTGATCCAGCGTAGGATTTAAGAAAATTAAGCTACCAAGAGAAAAGTATCAAAACTTATGAGTGAAACATACAAGAAAAGTATTGATAAAGGTTTTGCATTTGCTGTCACTCCTTTATATATTCATGTAACACTTAAGTGCTCTACCACTGAGTTACACCTGCTGCTGGCCCCTTTCTACTCGACTAGATGTTTCTAGAGTATGTTCCTGTAGTAGCTCTGCTGTGGCAGATGTCCTTTGCTATTCTTCCTGTAGCTGTGATCGTATCCAGGACTGGGCCCTCTTCACTAAACTTCTTTCCCTGGTTTGGTTTTGTTTAGTCCAATGAACTTTTTTTGTTTTGTGATTTTTGAGGCAGGATATCACCATGTAGCCCAGCTGGCCTCACTGGTTATTCTAGGCTATGCCTAGCAAGTCCTGTGGTTAAGTATTAACTGTATATATGCTGAGGCATTTCATACTTAACATAAAGCAAACCAAATTTTTTTCTTAAAACCAGTTCTTCAGCCTGAAAAATGTTCTCTCTCTCAGACTTATTGACACAGGATGTCACTATGTAGCTGGCCTGGAACTCAGAGATCTGCTGCCTTTGCCTCCTGCTGGCATTATAGGTATGCACTACCATGCCCAACTTATTTTTAAAGAGAGAGAGAGAGTGTGTGTGTGTGTGTATGTGTATGCACATGTATTTGCACGTCAGGGTCCAAAAGAGGGTGTTAGACCCCCTGGAACTGGAGTCATATGTAGTTGTGAGCTGCTCAGTGTGGGTGCTGGGAACCAAACTCATCCTCTGAGAGATCAGTATGTGTGGTCAACCTCTGACCTCCAGGCCCAGAGGTCATTCTTACATCACACGCTCTCCACCCCTACACTATAGCCTGGATTTGTCTATAGCCTCAATTCTACTGAAACTGGGTCTCTACCTTATTAAAGCTGAAAATTAAGAATGTTCCAACATAGCATGAAAACTCAACCTTGCATTTTAAATTAGGAGGGGTGTCTCACTGTTCAGCCCTGGCTATCCTGAACTCACTACGTATACCAGGCTGGCTCTCTGCTTCCTGAAAGTTGTGATTAAAGACTTGTGCCACCACACCTGGCTTTTATTTTTAATTATGTGTGTGGGTGAGTGCAGGTACTCATAGAGGCAAGAGGTGTTGGATCCCCCAAGAGCTGGAGTTACAAGTGGTTATGAGCTGCGTGATGTTGTTACTAGGAATTGAGCTCCGGCTCTCTGGAAGAGCAACAAGTGCTCTTACCACTGAGCCATCTCTCTAGCCCCTAAACCTATATTTTAATGACTCATCTCTAGAAACAAAAGGCCCATAATGATACTAAATAAATGCTTATTAAAACTCCATGACTGGCATATACCTATATGTGGTATTACCAGCACTCAGGAGGTTGAGACAGGAGGACTTCGAATTGGAGGCCATTCTGGACTATACAGTGAGACCCTGTTAAACCCCTGTCCCTTTCCCCCCCCAAAAATCCAGTTTTTGGGAACTGGAGAAGGACCCAGGTTCAGTTCCCAACACCTACAAAGTGGCTCAAAACCAACTGTAACTACAGTTCCAGGGATCCCACCCTCTTCTGGCCTCTGCAGGTACCAGACATGAACGTGGTGCATATAACACACATACAGGCAAAACACTCATTAAAAAAAAAAAAAATTAAGTACTTATTGAGCACATGCTCTATGCTAAGGCACTTAGGATACAAGTCTGTGAGTCACAGCTGTCAATCATGAAAGGAGACCAGTGAAAATGGAACTATAATCATTGTGTACAAGACATATGCAAAGTGCTATGGAATAAATGATAGAAAAGGTATATTAGGATCTCTACCTGTAATAAAGTGACTGAGAATGAAAAGTATAATATAAAAGAATGGAAGATCCTGCCAGGAACACCAGTATCCAAGCACACTGAATCTTTGAGGACCTTTCCTGAAAAAGAGACAATTTTATAATCTATTGTGTTAATTTATACCATTTGAATTCAATGACCAATTCATTAACTTACAATGTTTTTCTGGCTTAATCTTAATAAAAATATAAACCATCTGCTAAACTGTTCTTTATCATAGTCATTGTTTTATATATCACTACTGAACAAAACAGAATTTTTAATATATCTAAGCAAATTTTAAAACTACAAGTTTCTTCACTGTACGTATGAAAAATATGACTTATGTTTCAAAGAAGTCAAATCTAGAAGCTGACATAAAGTCCTACCAAAGCACTCTTTACCTCTGTACTTCCCTTTTTTGTGCCTCTTCCACAGAACAATTTCAGAAGTGCATAGAAATGAATCAGAGTTCATAAATATTTAGTATTTTAATCTCTGAAACTCCAAGGTTTTTTTTATTTTGATTTTTTTTGAGACCCCAATCTCAGATTCCCATAGCTCTAGCTGACCTGGGGCTTCCTATGTAGACCAGGCTGGCCTCCATCTCTGAGAGGTCTACCTGCCTTTGCCTAAGTGCTGGGATTAAAGAAGTGTGCCACACACCCTGCTGAAATTCAGGGTTTTTTTTTTTTGTTTGGTTTTTTTTTTTATGTGTTTGAATGTATTGCCTGCATGCATGTAAGTGTACCTGTGTCATACAATGCTGGGGAGGTCAGAAGAATGTGTTGAATTCCCTGGAACCAGAGTTACGGACAATTGTTAGCTGCCATGTGGGTGCTGGGAATCGAACCTGGGTCCTCTGTAAGAGCAGTCAGTGCTCTTAACCACTGAGCGATCTCTCCAACCCCCTACCCCCCTGGAAATTTAAGTTCTAATGACTAGTTGAATTAAAAGTTTTATAGGTTGGGCATCCTGATCCAAAAATCAGGCAACTTTTTAAGTATGTGAGATCAAGGCCAGCCTAGTCTACACAACAAGTTCTAGGCCAGCTGGGGCTACAGGGAGACCAAGTCTCAAAAAAAAAAAAAAAAAAAAAAAAAAAAAAAAAAAAAAAGCCTATAAAAACTGTATGAGGCCGGGTGTGGTGGCGCACACCTTTAATCTCAGCACTTGGGAGGCAGAGGTAGGCAGATACTTGTGAGTTCAAGGCCAGCCTGGGCTACATAGTGAGTTCAGGTCAGCTGGGACTACATGGAGACCCTGTCTCAAAAAGACAAAAAAAATAAATAAATAAATAAACTGTATGAGGTCAAAACATAAATGAGACTTGGGTCTCATTTACCAGCCACCCCCCCCCCATGTGTGTATATTCATTTCCAAAATTAAAAAAAAAAAAACAAAAACCTGAAATACTTCTGGTTCCAACACTTTTGGTATAAAGGGGCTGGAAAAATGGTTCAGGGGTTAAGAGCACTTCCCACTCTTCAAAAGGACCTGGGTTTGGTTCCCAGCATCCATAAGGTGGCTGGTAACTGATTCCTCTTTCAGGCCTCCTCAGGCAGTGCATGTGCGTGCTGAATCTTAATACATGCAGACAAGACACTCATACAAAAATAAAATTAAAAAAAATCTCATACAAGCCAAAACATTTTAAAAAAAAAAAAAAAAAAAAAAAAAAAAAAAAAAAAAAAGCCTGTACTGGTTTGGGTGTTTTGTTGTTTTCCTTAAAGACAGGGTCTCACGCTATAGCTCAGGCTGACCTGGTACTTATAGAGACTGGCTTTGAACTCATGGCAACCCTTCTGCCTCAGCTTCCTGAGTGCTGGGATTTAAGGCATGTGCCACTATGTGCATCACCCGTACTAGTTTTAAACCATGAACCAAAGTTCTGTTAATAGTCTATAATATAAACTTCTAGATCAGAATGTACTATCATTTTTTTGTCTTTTTCAACTAGGGTATCCCTGTAGCCCCAGCTGGCCTGGAACTTGCTATATGGACCAGGCTGGCCTCGAACTCAGAGATCTGCCTGCCTCTGCCTCCTAAGTGTTGGGATTAAAGGCATGCACCACAGTACTCAGCCAGAATGTACTTTCTTTTACTCCCTTCTTACAAAAATGCCCCTAAGGTGAAATTTTATAAATTCTTCCTATCTTTAACCAATGATTTATAGGATTAAGACTTTTACATTGATAGGAAAACTTAAGCTTAATTTCTTTAAATAAGAGACATCTAAACAGCTTAATGCCCATTTATTCAATACTCTTATTTATTTTAAATCTTATAGCAAGCACATCAAGTAAAAATTTTAACAAGATTACTTAGCATGTTCATATTAACTCAGAGCAGATGAAAGTGTAGTTTATGCCTCTTAATCCTTTTGTCTATGTTTTATTAGGAACCAAATAACAGAAATAAGGTAAAGTAACTAAGCATTAGGACAATTTATTCCAAATCATTTAGAAAATGAAATTAAACAGACCATGGACATTACAACACATCCTGTTGCTTCCTATTCTGCTCAAGTTATTTTTATTTCTCTCAAAATAACTTCTCTGTAATTCTGAAGAGAAACAGTTAATAATTTAGTTGCTTGTTATACTTACTCTTAGAAAAACCTGATTTACAATGATTTTGTTTGCATACATAAAAGTTGTTAGCAGCCCAATTCCAAGAGAAATTCCTGTTAGAAAATAAGTTCTAGTTAATTTAAAGAACAGAAAAGCAAACAAGACTATATAGGGTAATAATATGAATTAAAAGGAAACATACAAGGCCGGGTGTGGTGGCTCAAGCCTTTAATCCTAGCACTCGGGAGGCAGAGGTAGGCGGATCCTCTGTGAGTTCGAGGCCAGCCTGGTCTACAGAGTGAGTTCCAGGCAGCTGGAGCTACAGGGAGACCCTGTCTCAAAAAAACCAAAAAAAAAAAAAAAAGGAAACATACAATTTTAAAAACAAAATACAAAAATACATAGGCTAAAATAGATTACCAACAAAAAGACAAATGAATTTAGAAATTAAGCCAAGGTTTCACCATTCCCTACCTGTTATATGCTGCATAACAAGTTTAATACCCAGAATCAAAATATAAGGAAGACTTTTTTGCAGCCACTTGAAGAGATAGCGGAATTCCGAGAAGGAGCCACTTCCATGTTCTCCAGACTCTGTGGCAGTATCCTCGGGCAGCCTTGCTTCACTATGGGAGTGACTCCGGAAACGATTGTGCACACATCCATGGGTACAGCTGTGGGCACCTAACCTTGGATTTCTAGAGCTTGGATTTTCAGGATATTCTTTAGGTATGGAGTTGATTTGGATATGTACATCTCCAGAATGAAGACAAGAACTTTCTGTTATTCTTGATGGGTGAACACACTCGGAGGCTGAGGCACCGTCACTGCTTGCCGTTCCTGGAGGACTGTGCAATTGGTTACAGCTGGCTTGCATGGCCTTTGAATACTTTTTCGCTCAGATTTCTTTGTTTCAGGACTCTCTCATGACCTGGAGCCGGGGTCCTCAACAGCCACAGCACTAACAGCAGGGTCCACAACCTCCAGCTCTTCTTGCCGAGCCATCAGCAGCGGAATTCCGAGAAGGAGCCACTTCCATGTTCTCCAGACTCTGTGGCAGTATCCTCGGGCAGCCTTGCTTCACTATGGGAGTGACTCCGGAAACGATTGTGCACACATCCATGGGTACAGCTGTGGGCACCTAACCTTGGATTTCTAGAGCTTGGATTTTCAGGATATTCTTTAGGTATGGAGTTGATTTGGATATGTACATCTCCAGAATGAAGACAAGAACCTTCTGTTACTCTTGATGGGTGAACACACTGGGAGGCTAAGGCACCCTCACTGCTTGCAGTTCCTGGAGGACTGTGTAGTTGGTTACAGCTGGCTTGCATGGCCTTTGAATACTTTTTCTCTCAGATTTCTTTGTTTCAGGACTCTGTCTCCTTAAAAAAAAAGAAAAAAAAAAAACTAGCGAAAGCATTCTACATGAAAAGTTAGACACAAGTAATGCATGGTCTGTTAGGTGTTCTTTACTCACTAAAGGAGGGGCTGACAGTTACAGATGGATTTTCAGGTCTTCTATCACTTACTAGTCTCCATCCACCTTTGTTACTGCCAAGGCTGTCCACTCCCTCACCCCCAAAGTCTAACCTGGCAAAACAATGTTACTGGGCTTACTCAGGGGTTCCTTACAGTACAAAGTATATTTTGGGGAGCATTTACTATTCAACTTCAGAGGTCTCCATTTCTCTAATGCCAAAAGGCATCAGTAAAACAGTCATGAAGGATGGCTGCCCAACAGTTACCACCAATTAACACTGGTGCTCATACTGAATACTTTCGTACATTTTATTCTGCACACATCTATGATGTTGTTTCCACATTAAAAAGTTTCCTAAGGGCGAACGAGATGGCTCAGTGAGTGAAGGTGCTTGCTGCCAAATGTGCTGACTTGAGTTCAATACCGACTTAGGATGGAAGAGCACTGACTCCCACTAGTTTTCTTCTGACTGCGCGTGCGTGTACTTACACACAGGCACACACACGTAATTTTTAAGTTTTGTAAGAGTAATGCTTAGAAGGAGGGAAAAAAAAATCCGTCGGGCATGGTGGCTCACGCCTTTAATCCCAGCACCTAGGAGGCAGACGCAGCAGCCTGGTTTACATAGCGAGTTCCAGGCCAGTTTGGGGCTCCAGGGAGACCCTGTCTCAAAAAGCAAAAACAAAATAAAAAATAAATCTCAGTCCCTTATCGCAGACAACTAATAAACATTTTATGTAGGTGAACTACACACTTGATTTTATACTAATGAGCTTTTCAGTAATTAATGGTGCTACCAAGAATATTACTTCCCCTCTCAAAAGAATGTTACCCAAATACCTTTGAAATAGGCATACTTATGGGGAGTCCCCATGCGACGCAGTCGCTACGCTGAAGGAAGAGGCCACCCTCAGGTGTGTGGCGGGGGCCGGAAGGGCAGAAAAGCGGCCGTGGGCAGGAAAAGCTCCCCTCGCCAACCGGCGTGGGTGTGGGACGCGGTGGCAGAGGCGGATCCAGCTGACGGCGCAGTGCCCAGCGCACGCAAGACCTCGCGGCAAGGAAGCGACTCGCCGTGGGCAGCTGCGAGTGGAAGGCGCACTCGCTGCTTACCCCGGTACTGCGCAGCCGGGGTCGCCCGGGGCTCTGCAGCCACCGCGCTACCCACTCCCTCACTCTGGGGAGCGACTCCGGCCAGGACTGCGTCTCTGCTATAAACAGCCTCCTGCCCTCCGCAACACCAAAAGGGAAAAAGGAGGAAGAAAAGTCCACGCCAACTCTTCCGGGATTCCTGAGGACAGAGTTCTCCACCCACGTCCGAGCCTCCAGTACCTCAGTTCTCCTCCCCGCCATCCCTCCGCCTCCGCGCCCCTTCCCAAGGCCTGACCTCTCATGACCTGGAGCGGGGGACCTCGGCAGCCACAGCACGAACAGCAGGGCCCGCGGCTGCCAGCCCTTCTCGCCGAGCCATCAACCTCAACGCCACCAGCAGTAGTTGCGCTAGGGTCAGCCCCGCGGCGGCGCGGGCTCCCCACACGTCCCTGCGCGTTCTGGCTCCGCCCCCGCACGCCCAGACCCCGCCCCTGTGTGGGAAGGGCACACCAGGCCCCGCCTCTTTAGGTCCCGCCCCGTGCTCCTCTAGGCCCTGCCCCGCTGGGGTTCTTCCTGCAGGGCGAGCAGAGTTGGAGAGGGGCGGTTGGCACTAAGTATGGGTGGGTCTCACGTTTTGCGTGGTGTAATCTGCCGCACGCCTGGGCTCTCCAGCACGTTTGAGGGCTAACTATAGGTTCCGGAGGTACGGCCTGCAGTTGCGGTGCCCACACCTCTCATCGCGTGGGTGGGCTCCCTGGGCTGTGGAACCACGTTGACGGCTGTGCGCGTCCCCGGAGCGGCGGGGAGGAGCGCGTGCACCAGGGCTTCCGGTCGGGTCTGGGCCTACTCCTGACCCACTTGGGGCTGTTGCCACAGGTTGTTGGTGACCTGGATTTGGGTTCCGTCGTGCTGAGTAGATCCTGCGGTAACTGACGCCCTCTTCTGGCTTCAGTGGGCGTTGCATGTCGCACGTGGTGCACCTTACATACCTGCAGGCAAACACATTAAATTTTAGTGGTATTTTGGTGTTTTTTTTGTTTGTTTGTTTTTAAACTAGGACTTCTGGGCGTGGGGGGTGCATACCTTTGATCCCAGACAGAGGCAGGTGGATCTGAGTTCTAGGTTCGCCTTGTCTACATAGCAAGTTCCAGGTCAGCTGGGGCTACAGAGAGATCCTACCTCAAAAAGACCAAAAAAAAAAAAAAAAAGCCGATGGAGGTGGCACATGCCTGTAATCCCAGCACTTGAGAGGCAGAGGCAGGCAGATCTCTGAGTTCCAGGTCAGCTTGGTCTACCAAGTGAGCGCCAGGACATCTGGGGCTACCGGGAGACCCTATCTCAAAAAAGACAAATGGGCTGGAGAGATGGATTGGCGGTTAAGAACACATTGTTCTTGCAGAAGACCTGAGTTCAAATTCCAGCACCCACATGGCAGCTAACAACTGTCCATAACTCCAGTTCCAGGGGATCCGACAATCTCTTCTGTCCTCTGGGGGCATTGTATGACAGGGGTGCACTTACCTACATGCAGGCAATGCACGAATTCACATAAAAATAAAGTTTTGAAAAAAAAGACAACCCCAAAACCATAAAATATCTAGGACATAAGAAAAATAGCGCTCCTATAGTTCTTGAAATTATTCTGCTGTATGTTAGGTTAGCTGAATAAACCTGGGCAAAGACCAGACTTTGCATTCACCATGAGTTGAATGGCTAATGATAACTCGGTATTTTGTCTTTTGATGGTTGTGGGGACCTAAAGGCCCCACCTTGCAGAAGTCCAAGAGGAAGTTACAGGGACCTGTCTGACTTGCTTTGAAAGTCTGAAGAGGACTTCGGCTCTGCTGAAGAGTGAGTGATCAGCCCAGTGACCATCCTCCTCAGGGGGGGAGGGGGGATTTCCAGGTGCCTTTATAAGCTCTGTAACACCTGTAATAAATGAGTTCCTGCTTGACTAAACTCCCCATTGCGTCTGAGAGTCCCCGGTACTGTGGGCGGTGTGGGCTGGTGAATGGCGCTCTTACTCATCCCCAATCATTACTGCCCTGGGGTCGTTGGTAAGAACCCCAGCAATTGGTCACAACATATTTAACCCTTACACAGATGCTTTGCCAAAGTTGTTGCTGTATGATTAATTCCTTAACCATGAAAGTCTGTTTTATTTTGTATTAGAACTGAATCCACCATTTAACCTAGTTCATTCACCTTGAGGCTGTACTTAAATTTCTCTGAGTACAGAAGCACCTAAAAAACAATCCCAAACCAGTTTTAGATCACTGTAATTAGCTACACATAGGCTGTTTTGTTTTGTTTTGTTTTGTTTGAGACAGGGTCCTACATAGTCCAGGCTGGCCTGCACAGAACGCCTGATGCTTCTGCCCTCATCTTCCTTAGAGCTGGGGTTACAGTACCATCATGCCCAGCTTTTTTTTTTTCCTCTTGAATTTAAGTCTGAGCTTCAAGCTTCTTCAAAAATTACATTTCTGGGTAAGGGTGAGGGCCAGAGTTTAGACTGGAAGTGAACTCCAAGGAGACATTTGTATATATTCTACCATTCCAGATAATGAGTATTTTATTTCATTATTTTAAATTTATTATTTATTTATTTATTTATTATTGTGTGTGTGCGTGTGTGTGTGTGTGTTTGCTGATATAGGGCATGCTCAGGTGTGGAGGTCAGAGGACACCTTTGTGAAATCTATTCTCTCCTACCTTTACTTGCAGCAGTCGAACTCAAGTCATCAGGTCTGTATGAAGTGCTTTAATGGCTGATCCATTTCATCAGCCCTAAGTGAATGTTTTCACTTTAAACTAAAATGAATGTAAACAGCATGGTGTCTCAGAACTCTGGAAGCTGAGGCAGGAAGATTGCTGGAAGTTCAAGGCCAGACTGGGCCACAGAATGAGATTCTGTCTCAAAGAATATAAATATTGTGCTGGATAGCTTTAGTGTCAACTTGATACACCTGGGTTGAGGGAGCCTCATTGGGGAACTGCCTCCACTGGACTAGCCTGTGGCCATGTCTGTGGGGGATTTTTCTTGATTGTTGAGTGATGTGGGAGGGCCCAGACCACTGTAGGTGGTGCCACCCCTGGGTAGGTGGGCCTATGTTGTATAAGAAAGCAGGTTGAGCCTGGGTCAGGGGAACAAGCCAGTAAGCAGCATTCCTCATGACCTGTGCTCCCTCCAGCTCCGGCCTCCAAGTTCTTGCCCTGAGTTCCTACCTTGGGCTCCCTGATGAACTGTGACTTGGGAGATGTAAGACAATATAAACCCTTTCCTCCCCAAGTTGGCAGTAGTCAGAGTATTTTGTCAC